AAAATATATCCATATATGCATATGGATATACATATTCATACCACGAGTTAGAAATACATACCAGTCTTCTGCGTAATCCTGTGCATGCATGAGTGTTCCGATGGGCGTAGTGAAATGCTGCAGCCTTTGCTTGAGGCGTTCTTGTTTGGTTGGTTTTGGTTTCTTTGCCCTTGACTTTCCCGCCTTAGTCCCAGTCACTTTGCGACCCTCTTTCTCACTCTCATTCCCATCCGAATTGCTATCAATATTTTTACCATTATCGATGTCGTCGTCCATATCCCCTTCCACCTTTGGTACCGCACTTGTTTGGCATGTATCTACAGTACTAGCGTCCTCGTATGCCCTAGACCGGTGCTTATCTGAACCATCAATTGTATGGCTGCGTGTACTATTATCATTTCCATCGCCAACGTGTGCACTGGGTTTGTGTTCATCTGCACCTTCGATCGCAATGGTACTCACTTCGCCCCCTTGGACCTCCGTACTAACTGACACGACACCTGTCTTATACGTGTGAGATGCGCTGTTGTCATTGCTGCCTCTTTCTACTACACCAGGTATGTTGGTATCCCCATCCCCATTTGTCTCCATAGCAACATCCCCATGCTCGCCACTTCCATCGCTACTAACCTCCTTGCTGGTTTCTATTGCCTTTATAGCTCCCGCTTGTTCTATGTCAGTTATTTCTTCTTCTACGCTCTCGTATATTTCATTACCCTTTTCTGTGGTATTCTCATCTTTCTCTACACTATTTCTATCGGATGCATTTACATCAATACAAGTACTTTCAACCCCACACTTCCCATCACCGTCAGTGTTTTCCTTAATGGTACAGTTAGCACTATCGCTCGCTACTACAGTGTCTGTATTGTTCACAGGCAGAACCTGTGCCGCCGCTATCACATTCGATTCTGCATCAATCTGTGATACGTTGCATGTGTTTCCAGTATTTGTCACACTGCCATCATATGAGATAGACGTGTCTCCAACGTTTACTACACTATCAATACGTATAACAGATGCATGTCCACCGTTTGGAACACTGCCATTATGTATGGTTTGCGAGCCATCAGATGGTTTTGTATCCGCCATCGCCCACTCAACACGCCACCGATGTTGTCGCCTACTACCGTATTGAGGAGTTGTAGTCACTTACCATCTAAGCGATCTCTGCGTATTGCCTGGCGATGTACATGTATCAGTTGTGTACGAGACTATCATTCGTGTTTGGTTCATACTTTGGCACTGTGCTATGGCTACGCCCGCAAGTGCTCTTAAGTCCGCCCGCGTAAGTCTTATATGCACACACGTAAGTACAGTCTATATGTATGTAGTATGTATCGTTAAAATTAGTATTTTATTATAATATATATATAAATATATGCACCCGTACAGACTGTACTGCCTGTCCTGAGTTTTGAACCGCGCAGGGATCGCAATATTCAGATACTCGCCGCAGCCAATGGGACGCGGCCATTGCTGCCGTGGCGCGCTTTTGTGAAAACTCGATACACACCAATCGAAACTTAGATAGAGTTTTTAAAGTTTTAAACCCTTCGTCGGAGTCGGGGGCAGCCATTTTGGCGGCAATCTATTTATAGAAACTTGGACTTCAAATTCAAAATAGAGGCCTACAATACATAGTTAATAGTAGTAGTAGAGCATATTGCGTTAAAGAGACTGCCCATCTGTCGTTGTTCGAGGTTTCGGTGTCGCTAATACATGCGCTGTTAACAGACCGCAAAACAGCACTTCAACACACCCCCATCCCTTCTCGCTGCACAGAAATAGCAACAACATTTGAAATTTACATGTTATTATAAATCTACGATAAAAGTGTTAGTTACTGGATCCTCAGGTCACCTGGGCGAGGCCATGGTTCGACACCTGCGCAGTCTGATGCGTATGACGTGGTAAGTACAGACATCATCCCCTCAGAGTTCCACAGATCACTTGGGAATTATTGCTGATGCTGATCATGTAAACAAGTACGTACGGGGAGCTGATTGCCATGACGTTGTTTGGTGAGCTTTCAGGTGGCGTATTCTTTAAGTATTGATTTGTAAAGGTGTGTTTTTGACATATGTCTTTGGCACCGAAACTTAAATGTGTAGATACCTGTAGTACGAAGCTATATTATTTACCCCAAATCTGACACACACAACTCAGGATAGTGAAAGGTATCGAAGCGGTAGTGCATTGTGCCACCCTACACAAGCCACACATCGTTTCGCACACTAACAGTGACTTTGTCGACACAAACATCACCGGCACATTGAACCTACTGGAAGCAGGCGCCAACAACATGGGAGCTCCTTTGTGTTCACATCCTCCACAACCGTGTTTGGTGATGCTCTAGTTGATAAAACCGGGCCTGCTACGTGGATCACCGAAGATGTTGTATCCACGCCCAAGAACATATACGGGGTCACCAAGAAAGCGCCGGAGGAGATGTGTCAGCTATTCCATCGTAACAAGGGACTGAATGTGGTGGTACTGCGCACATCACGATTCTTTCTGGAAGACGACGACGAAGCACACGCAGTGGCGTATGAGGATATGAATGCGAAAACAACTGAGTTTTTGTACCGAAGAGCTGATATACAGGATATAGTGGACGCGCACGTGCTGGCTCTGGAGAAGGCCCCTTTGCTGGGATTTGCTAGGTAGGTATCTTGTCCTCATATTCAATGTGTAGAACATGTGCCTCTGGCGTGTTTGCGTACTTCAAACAGGTGGTATGTATACGTACACGCAGTTTCAGAGACCATAAAAGTATTTGTATATACACCTTCAAAATATACAAATACGCCTAAACACTACAAAATATAAATCTTTGTACATATATATATATATATATATATATATATATGTGTGTATATATTATATAGTAATGTATGCATGTATATATATGTATATATATGTGTGTGTGTGCGTGTGTGTGTGTG